GATTGAGAAGTCACAGCTGCGATGGCTTGGGCACGTGTTGCGAATGTCTCCAGAAAGGAAGGCTAAGCAATGTTCCTTGCAAATCTGACCGGCAAAAGGCCAATGGAACGGCCAAGATTAACCTGGTGCAAACATAGGAAGGAGTCTGTTCCAGACTGCATTTGTCTTTTGCCGAAGCTCAGACTCTATCACAGGATCGGGAACGTTGGAAGCTCTGTCTGACGCATCTGCCTGCGCGATCCGAAAGGAGAAGCGGCGATGGAAGATGTAAGTGAAAGCGAAGATTCTCAGCAAATCTTTAATGAGTGCCAAATTTTCAAATATTTTCGGTGAGCGTAAGAGCCTTTATTTGAACACTGGGCTACTTAGCTATGATTTAAATATCATTTCTCTGCTAAAATGTGAAACGAGCTTACGTAAATTTGTGACCGTCAGGATTTCTGGAATCGTCTTGTGTAGCTTCAGCGTTTCGCAGAGGAGGCATGACGCTTTGTCCGTCAACAATGGCCTTTGCAGCGATTACCAATGGAGTGATTTTGGAAAACAGTTCTTTGTATTGAACCTGAATAAGAATCAGATCACTTGCCGAAATCATATCATAATATGAAGCGTCCACAGAAAAGTATCTCCGAAGGTCGAAGTCAACGGTTCATCGAAATGTGCATAAAGTTTAGAAGTTTATCGAATTCAATCCTTCTTGTACCAAACAAAACTACTTCACGTGATTATGCGTGATTATACCCCTACTGAGTAGGAGATTAAAACTACAAAATATAAAAACAATTTTACCTTAGCATGTTTGTGAAAGATTCGAACACGGCGACAATTGGCACGCCTTTTAGCGACGTGAGACCCATTGCTGACGTACTGCCCAACCCACAACGACGCCCATTTGGAGCGCCTGTTCTTCGGCTTGCCTATCGTACTGAAAAATCCACCGGCTATCATGAATCTTGTCATCCTGAAATGACCCCATCTTCATGCCCAACCTTCTTCCAACGTAAAATATGTATCTCTGACAATGAGCAAAAATGCCGCCTACAGTATACAACTGTAATGGATTAAATGCATTAAATCACTTTCAAGTTTTTGCGGGCTTCGACATGCTTTGCATTTGAAACTGTCTCTGACTCTAAATATCGTGTAACAATTTTAGCGCTGACATGTACCTTCATATACTTTTAATTCTTGTCAACACCCTAAGCCGTTCGGCTTTTGATCTGGCCCCATTACAAGGTCACTTGTGAGTTTGGCAGCCAATCAAACAACAGAATTTCTTCGTTGTCAGAAAGACTGGAGATTTGATGATACAGACCGTTTCGGTCGAAGCGAATCAGACTGGGGGGAGGTCTTTACGGTACAAGCGGCTCCAGATTAGCACGTTCCTTTGTTTTGTGATATCATTCGTCATTTATTGTCCTGACAAACTGCTCTATATGCTAACAAATGACAGTCATTTGCTAAGAACATACGTGAAAGAGTTTTTGCACCTTTTTATGAATTAGAAAATTAGTGCCGAAACACCTTCTCGTTTAGATTTAGATTCTCGTTATGGTTTCTCTTTCCAGGGCAGAACTGCCGTAATATTTGCAGGTTATAACAGGTTCGTTCCTCATGGCTTGTAGAGTTACTGTGTCCAAGAATTCTCGGCTAGACAAGTTCCTTTTGAGTATACACGTAGATGTACTTCGTTCTGTCATATGATTCTATACTTTCTACATTTGCCATTTTAACAGGTTTGGGCGCAAAAGTAGGTTGTGAAAAAAGTTTGGCATCTCATGGTCTCAAGCAACATCATCCACTCGTAGCAACAAGTTTTATTCATCGACATTGTCTGCAAAGAATCCGGTATAACGCTTCTAGCGTAAACTGCGGTAGCAGAGGATGCTCCCCGAAATATACATATGTAAGATGTATACCTCCCTGAGAATGAACAATGACAAAATTGAGGAATAATGTGTCAAATCAAGCGTATTATGAAGCGCATTTAGCTCGTCGTAAATGCCGTTAAGAACTCTGAAGCAGTTGACTAATGAGATAATCTATTAAAGTTTGTCAGATCTGTCTATATTGTCACGGAAAGCATTTCTCTGAGTGTCACAGTTGACTAAGGACCTAGGCCAATAGATATGAGTAATCTTCGTATTTTTCTTCATTTCTTCTACAGCAAAATCTTTTCGATGCATGCCTTTCTTTGTCAAAAGAAACGATGCTCGACGAGGATGACGATTCATGAGCAAAACCGTGGCAATGTAGAAAGTACGTAATTCAGAAACAGAAGAGACAGCGTACAGTAACCTTTTCCAACCCTGCGCTTGTGTCTTTATCGTTCAGAACGGAATATTAGATATTGTATTCTCAGCATGTCGCGAAATGAACTTCTCCTATGAGTATTAGGCAGTTGTGAATGTCCTTTGACGCCAGTAACGTATG